GCTTCCTGAGCCAGATGTTGTTTCACAGCTCGGCCGTGTCGCCAGTCGAGGACAAAGGTGGCATTCGAAACGCAACCAGCTTCAAAAATGTTTGCACAATGGCAAAGGCACGCGACGTGGTTGGCAGCAGAAAAAAAACGGTCGCTAGGGCAATCAAAGGCTATGCAGGATACGAGTCCTGGCATCACACATTGTTCTAACATGAAAAGTATCTTGTACATGATTTCGTCACGGAGCCGTGTTATTTTAGCCGTCTGGGAAACAGGCGAACAGGCATGGGGCCTAAACCTAAGTATTTGGGAGCAAGAACCCTGATACCGCTTGCATCAGGCCGGATACGGTAGGCTGCATGTGGAAATGAGAGATCGACCTGTGGACCATGCGAGGGTGTATGGGTGTGGGCAACATTTGTTGTTTGCGCCGGCATTGCTTGTTGCTCGCGCCATGAGACGATTCGAAACATCAGGTTCCGATCTGGCGATGCAACATGAGCACTCGGACAGTTTCGCTTACTGTGTAAGTAGGTACTGACGCAGGACTCGAGGGATAGAGTTTGCTGATTGTGGGCAAGCAGGTGTTATTTACGTTGCGAAAGGGGTGGTGAGGTGCCAATAATCTACTGTCTGCAACGTAGATCGGACAGCTGGGAGCGATGTCACGTAGAGCCAATCACCCCGGGCGACTAATGCTGGTCCCCTGACGGTTGTTCGGCGCAGGGACAGGATGCGAACAAGGAGCCTCGGAACGCCGACTCGCACTCGCCAGCACAATCAGGACAATCAGTGTTCGGTCGATTCTTGACGCCTCGCAGTCTGGCCGCCGTCTGCGACAATATCCAGGGCCAGGCGGCCGCCCCAATGGCGGGCCCGTCACGGTGACGTTGGACACGGCAGACGCTGTGTGGTTGACGAGAGATCCGGCGCGGGACGGGTTTCATGACAGATGGCAGCTGTAATGGATGGGGGTATAGATGGGTATAATGGTGTGGATGCTGGAACGGCGAGAACCGCACGATTCAGCCGACAGTGCAAGCTGCCGCCCCGTGCACGCCAAAGGAAATGCCCGCCGAATCATCGCCCGCACGGCGCACAACCCCCCAGCACGCCCAATTCCCCCAGCGCGCGAATTGCGTGCAGACGACGACGATAACCCCCGCTGGCGGCCAAATGTGCCGGAGACGATTGGGCGTTCGTCTTTGATTGCCGGCGAGGCCTGTCGCGTGCTGGCCGGTCTGTATGGGCAATGCGCCGACTCGGTCATTACCGTGTCGTGATTGCTTTGTGTTTAGCTTCGCGATACCCAACATTGCGCGTGTCGATTGTGGGGCCCGGCACCCTCTAGGACTGCTACATATGGACGTGCTAGCCATTTTCCAGCCGCTGCCCTTCTAAGCTCGTAGCCTTTTCGGACCCACGCCCGCATGCTGCCCCTGATTGAGCATGGTCCACACCGTTTCTGAAGATCAAACAGCCCTGTGTGTCCAGCGTCGTCGTTCGGCGCACGCTTGTAGCCGTCTTCACCCACTGTCTGCCGCCCGCCTTGCTCTTCTTCCATGTCACCACCCTCGAGAAATACCATCATCATCACACCCCCGCTGGCTGCACACAATCCCCATACTGACTCCGGCACCGCCTGCCTCGTTATCGCTCCTCCCGTGGGCGAGCTCCGCATGCCAACATGGATCGCATGAGCACGCTTCCAACAATCAAATGCTCGTCGTGTGCCGTCGACATTGATATCCTCCATCTGGCCGACCATGTCTGCACTGCAGTCCCGGCGCCCGGTGAGTACCATACAACGCTGTATTGCCTACCCAAACTAATTCCCCTCTTAGCAGCGCCAGTGCCTGAGCCCATGTCGCCTACCTCGACAGTCGTAACAGACTCTCCTCAATCTATTCTTTCTCCAAAAATCAACCGCGCTGCAACCTTCGGCGGCCCAACATTCAGCAATCGATCTGACCGGCCAGCACCCTCTGGCCGCATGCCTCCCCCTCCCCGCATTGATTCAAACGCAGCGAGTAAGCAATCAGAATAGCACCAAGTTTGCACAGAGATTTGCATGCTGATTTGAACAGACAAGCCATTCAGGCCATTAGAACCCTCACCCATCAGTGACTACAGCGGCCCTCAAAGTCGCTCTCCAGGACTGGTCCCACCAAAGTCTCCTTACAAAATGACCCGCAGTGTAACAACACCGGTAGACCAATCAAGGGCTCCTCGCTCGCCTGGCCTCAGTTCAAATCTAGACTGTGCTTTTCCGCCATTTCGCCCCAAGACACCGACAAGCGCCAAACCTCAACCACGAGAACGTCTAGATCCCTACCAAAACTATGCCCAACCAAGCCCATTATTTGCGCCACTTAGCCCACGCTTTGATGGAGGGGAGAATATTACCAAGCGCATGAACACTATTGCACCAGGTCCGTTTGATGGAAAGAATGATCGAAGGCCAAGTAGAACAAGTGCATCGAGCCAAGCTGTAGATGCATCTACAAGTGGCCACCAGAGGACAGGGACACAAGGCAGCATCTCAAGCAACAGGAGCTTTCCGCAAGTACGGTCCTCTGTAACATCGAATACTTCGCGTAGCTCTGGATATTCTAACCGCAGCGTTGGCCTCCCATCTCACCCAAAGCTACGCGTTGGAACCATAGAAGCTCTACCCCCACGTCCACAGGCTGACGAGCAGACTGAAGGCATTGATGCTTTCCTGGACCGCTTGCAAAAAGAATCTTCGCGCTCTTCTCAGCCAGTCCAGCCAGCTCAGGAGAACATCGCGCCAGAGCCGGTGCGACAGAACAGCCGAGGCAAGAGAGAACCACCACCACGGCCAAGAAGGCCCTCAGAAAGGGATTTGCCACCGATGGATATGAGCGACTTGGATACATCCGATTTTTTCCCTCCAAATAATATGTTTCCTTCGCCGGGTCCAAGTCGTAGTGGTTCCGAGAGCGACATGCCGCGAGGCCTTGCGCCATCTCGCTCTTTACGTCCACCGCCACTGGCTGCCGCAGGACCCAGTGATGGACAGTCAAACTCGCTTCACACACCTTCGGACTCTGGTTTCTCTGACGATTCCTATGGCAGCTCTGGTATCCGAAGCACAGCCAGTTCAAGGTCAAGCCCGCCAGAATCGGAAACTGCTCACTCGCGCCAAGCCTCTAAAATAGGCCGCCCAGACTATGCTGCCGAGGAGAATCCCAGGAGAAGTCCAAGCCCTAACGGATTAGGACCATACCCGCGAGCGCTATCTCCAGGCCCTCGCCAGCCCATGTTCCCATCAGGCATCAACATGCAATATCCAGAATCTCCCATTGATCCCGCAGTACAGATGGGTGCACGAACCCCAATGGGCATGTTCCCGAAGGACCCAATGGCTCAAGACCACAGCCGAAGCCCGCTAAGGAGTATGGCTGAGCCTGAGGTGCGCCAGCAAGATGCGCAGCGGCCAAAACCCGCTAGCAAGGGTAACTGTCGAGGATGCTCTGAGCCCATTGTTGGAAAATCCGTCAAAGACTCATCGGGTCGTCTCACTGGGCGGTACCACAAGCACTGCTTTGTTTGCAGAGAATGCGCGGACCCTTTCCCCACGGCCGAGTTCTACGTCTTCAATAACTCACCTTACTGCGAGCGTCACTACCATAAGCTCAATGGATCACTGTGTAACACCTGCAACCGTGGCATCGAAGGCCAGTACCTCGAAACAGACACGCGACAAAAATTTCACCCTAGGTGCTTTGCATGCTTCACTTGCCGTCTCATTCTGCGGGACGGTTATTTTGAAGTTGCTGGGCGAAGGTATTGCGAGCGACATGCCCAGAGCGCCGCGGCTCCGCCGAGAAACCACCTCGGACCTGGAAATTACAGACCACGAAATCTACAGAAACGTGGAACGAGACTCATGATGATGGCCTAAGCCGTCTTTCTTTCCTTTTGTCTACTATACGCCAATTTCCTTTTCGGTATGTCGTGTCGTTTAGCGCTTTCTCGTTTCCTGACATCGTACGAATATTCACCCTCTTCATTCTTTCTTGTCCGGCGAGTCCGGTTTTGTATCATATTTTCTGCGCTATACCCCTTACTCTATACATTCCTTACTCGTTGTAATCACCGTTTGTACTGGTGGCGGCCGATGAGCGTGCGCAAGCTGAGTAGGTGGTTTGGTGAAGGCTGGATATATACCCCCCTTTTTTTGATTTTACACACTTGTGGTCTCTGGAAGACACATCTTGGCCTGTTGGATGCGGTCCAAATTTACGTATACACCTACCTGTAGTATACATAATGTTTATTGTTCATTACGAGATCTTCGAGTGCAATATGTGGTTGCTGTAAGTGAATTAGACTTGTCAAGTAGATTCTACCCTTTTTGGACTTGCGATGATTGGAGGGTATCGGTCTGAGTGAGCGCTTTTCTAACTCAGCCTGTAGTTGACGTGTATTCGAGGTATGCAGGGAGGGGTGAGTATCAGTATCAGACATACGATAGTGACTAACCAACGAAAACCTTGACACTGCCATCGACAAGGAGCAAGTTGAAGTGTTTACAACTCAATGTGTCTTCAACGACTCGAATAACAGTTAATTGGTCCTGTACAGGGATCACGTACTTACTCATCATCAACGCTGGTGTTTGGTTGACCAATGGCACCTCAGGGGGCGATGATCTGGTCAACATGACGATGATATCTAAGTACATGAATGAGAGCAAGCTCACATACTGCGTACATACAAGGCACGCCACAATTTCGCAGACGAGAGCGCCACAAAGCCCCCACAGCGTTGGAACAGCGTGGCCTCTTTGAGGTTCGGTGGCAGCTTCGAGATGGCTCAGGGACGGAACTACGGCTAGCGCGCGCACGGGCAATTTCCCCAGCGACACGTTGCGAAAGCTACAATACAAACCCCCCTCTCACTTTCCATCTCCAGGCTGCCTTCAACCAACCTTTTTCACTTCTCCTTGTCTTCTTTCTTGTCTCTGGGCCATAGTTCGCAATCATGAGCGGCCGTAAGTCTACGCCCCCGCCCTCAATGGGCCCGCGATCGCCCACGCGCAAAACAGGGCGCACTGCGGCACGCACAGCTAACGCCTCCACGCAGTACGGTTCCTCGATCTTGTCAAGCCCTTTGTGCCTCTCGTCCCCGAGATCCAATTGCCCGAGAGCAAGGTGCCGTTCAACAACCGCCTAGTATGGACTGGTCTCACGCTCCTCGTCTTCCTCGTCATGAGCCAGATGCCGCTCTACGGAATTGTGTCGTCTGATACTTCGGACCCGCTCTACTGGCTGCGCATGATGATGGCGAGTAACAGAGGTACGCTGATGGAGCTGGGTATCACCCCCATCATCACCTCGGGCATGGTTTTCCAGCTTCTTGCCGGAACTCACCTGATTGACGTCAACCTTGACCTCAAGTCGGACCGCGAACTCTACCAAACCGCTCAAAAGCTCCTTGCCATTCTCCTGTCCTTTGGCCAGGCTGTTGTCTATGTTATCTCTGGTCTCTACGGACAGCCATCCGACCTCGGTGCCGGTATCTGCGTCCTGCTCGTCATCCAGTTGATGATTGCTGGTTTGATTGTCATTCTCCTTGACGAGCTCCTCCAGAAGGGCTATGGTCTCGGCAGCGGTATCTCACTCTTCATTGCCACCAACATTTGCGAGTCCATCATGTGGAAGGCCTTCTCTCCCACCACCATCAACACTGGTCGTGGCCCGGAGTTTGAGGGTGCTCTGATTGCGCTTGTTCACTTGCTCTTCACCTGGCCCGACAAGACTGTTGCGCTCAAGGAGGCCTTCTACCGTCAGAACCTCCCCAACGTCATGAACCTGATCTCCACCGTTCTCGTTTTTGGCGCTGTCATCTATCTCCAGGGATTCCGTGTTGAGATCCCAGTCAAGTCTGCCCGCCAGCGTGGTGTCCGTGGCTCCTACCCTGTCCGTCTGTTCTACACCTCCAACATGCCTATCATGCTGCAGTCTGCTCTCTCCTCCAACGTCTTCTTGATCAGCCAGATGCTCTACAGCCGCTTCTCTGACAACCTGCTTGTCAAGCTTCTCGGTGTTTGGGAGCCCAAGGAGGGTTCTGCTCAGCTTTTTGCTACCTCTGGTGTCGCTTACTACATGTACGTTCTACAGCAAGCCTATTCCAGTAGTTTCCACACTAACATTATACAGGTCTCCCCCTCTCAGCATCACTGAAGCGCTCTCTGACCCCCTCAAGACCGCCATCTTCATCGTCTACATGCTCGTCGCTTGCGCCGTTTTCTCCAAGACCTGGATCGAGGTCTCTGGCTCCTCTCCCCGCGATGTTGCCAAGCAGCTCAAGGAGCAGGGTCTGGTCATGGCTGGTCACCGTGAGGAGTCTATGTACAAGGAGCTCAAGCGTGTTATTCCCACTGCGGCTGCCTTCGGCGGTGCCTGCATTGGAGCTTTGTCTGTCGGTAGCGATCTCCTCGGCGCTCTTGGCAGTGGTACCGGTATTCTTCTTGCCGTCACCATTATCTACGGATACTTTGAGATTGCCGCCAAGGAAGGCGACATGTCCGGTCTCAAGGGCATGGTCATGGGCTAGATTGGCTCATAAGGGCCTCGTTCTTTTGGTTTTGGAACGGGGATGTATTGGGGTTGAGTGCTTTGTCGCACGTTGTAACATACGATTTAAGGAATAAAAAAGCTTGCGAAGGAATTATGGCATCACTTTACGCATGAAATGTGGAGCCTGGCTAGGCTACTACAGGTAAATCCTTGTGTAATGTATCATTGTTAACAGCAAGAATGCATTTGACCGAATTATTAAGGCAGTGATGATGTGCTTAGGCGCCTTTGACGCATTGCTATGGTTGTTAATACTGATTGGTGTGAAAGAATGCACAGTATTGGTTGATTAAGCGAATGCGAAATCTGACGTCTTACCCCTACATGCGCTAGCATACCTGACATTCAGTACACGGACATGGGCCATTTAAGCGAGTGCGAACGAATGTCTAGATAGACACATGACAACGGCGGCTTCGCAACCGGGCGTAAGGCACGCTACACTCACATACGTTATGCTACGTTTTTGATAGGTTGAGCTAGCTTACATGTCTTTCATGTGCAGGAATATGGGCAGTGCATGCAAGCGAGTGCGAAAGCATGTATATGCAGATAGAGAGGTATGACGACGTAGCATCCACAGACAGATAGGTATAAAGAATGCCGTGAATTCGAGCAGGTAGCAAAAAAACCCCCTTCTCTTCTCAATATTATGACAATGTCTCAGTTACTCCTCCAAGCTCAAAATCATATAGATCCCCTCTATCTCAATCTTCCATCTTACTTACATATCCACCCAACCACAATGACCATCAACTCCATCTCCCCCAGCCATGTCTGGAAACGCCAGAATCCGCCTAAATCCCCTGGATTCGACTGGGAAATGTACCGCTACACGCCCTCCCTCGCAGGCACTATAATCTGCATCGTCGTCTTCACAATCATGGCACTGCTTCACCTAACTCGCTTCTTTCGATGCAAAAACCGTATTGTTATCTTTCTTGTCATTGGCGCTTTATGTACGTTCCACCCAACCTTCATCTTCAACACTCGTTTCTAATGTTAATCTCTTCTACGGCATAATAGGCGAAGTAGGAGGCTACAGCGCACGCATAGCTTCACATTTCAACAATCAAGCCTGGGGCCCGTTTATCGTGCAGGGAGTGCTGTTGTTGATTGGACCGCTGTGGTTCGCGGCGACGGTGTATATGATGCTTGGTCGTACAATTCGGACGGCGGGTGCGGAGGAGGTTGTGGGTGGGCGGGCAAGGTGGTATACTGTGGGTTTTGTTACCGCAGATGTTACAACGTTGGTTGTGCAGGGGTTGGGTGAGTCTTTATTTTCTCTTTACACAAGACAAGATGGTTGCTAACATGGGGGGGTTTCACAGGTGCTAGTATCATGGGTACGATGCAACTTTCGCTCGCTATAGCGGGTGAGAAGATTGTTATTGCGGGGCTTGCATTGCAAGTTGCTACGTTTGTGTTCTTTCTAATTGCAGCGGGTGATTTTCACCTAAGGATGAGGAGGCGTGTTGCTAGGGCTTCTATGCCTGTGACCGATACGCCATGGGAGAGGATGCTGTATATTCTTTACAGTGTCAGTGCGCTCATTCTCCTCCGCTGTGTGTTCAGATTGATCGAGTATTCGATGGGGAATGCGGCATATCTCATTGCGCATGAGTGGACGCTGTATTGCTTTGATGCGGTACCGATGTTTCTAGTCCTTGTGTTATTGCTATTATTTGAGCCTCCACGGAATGTAGCGCAGGCTGGGAAAGTGCAAGTGCAGATCGATTGCGAGGCTAGAGAGGTAAAGTAAGCGTGGGCTCTTTTTCGCACTTTGGTTGTTTTTAGCTGTATCATCGCTAGTATTTTGCTTCTATTTGTTTATAGATCGAATTCGGTTGCACACAAAAAAAGTCGAATTCAAATTGGAAACAGTAGTCTCTCAAATTAAATTAAACTTTAGCCGCCATCACATTGGTTGTGTTGTGTAGAAAGGGCCCTAATCACACCCAATGTTACATTTTGAATGACGTAGATGACTAGGAGGATAGATCATAGCGGCTGGGCGCCTTACGCATCACATGGCTCCAATCAGCCTCATACAGAAACATTAACTCTAACAAGCAATACCAAGGTAAACGCAATGGTGCGTCGAAGCCCCGGCTTTGTAACCAAGCAGCCGCATTCCAAATCGAGAGGCGGATGCTTAACGTGTAAAAGGAAGAAAGTCAAGGTTCGATGAACGGTTCTCGTTGAAGGCTGCGAATAACTCGATGTAGTGCGATGAGGCGCGGCCAAAATGTCGTTACTGCAGCCAGAGAAAGTTTGATTGCGAATATGTTCAGAAATCATCATCGGCAACACCTGAGTCTTTATCCAGTCACGAAGCTTCACCACAACTTCTGAGCAACGAGGCTGATTTCTGCATCTCTTCCTCTCAATCCCTCATTCCTTCCACAAATACATCGATAGGTATCTTTACCTCACTCGATCACTACTTACTGCAATACTATGCAACCCACGTCTGGCAACGCTTCGTAATGTGGGATGACCCGGCAGTCAAAACCCTACACAAAGACGTTGTTCCAAAAATGAGCATTTCGCATACCTTCCTACTCTACTCGCTGCTGAGCATCGCAGCCACACAGAGCAATATTCAGAGCCCAAGTAAACAAGTTGAAAAACAAGCCCTGGTGTACAGACAAAAAACATTTGAGTCCTACAAAACCGCACTCCAACGCATCACTGCAGAGAACTACGAAGCCGTGCTCGCAACAGGAACGTTTTTACTTTCCCTAGTCCTACCATTGCCCAACTACACAGACGAACAGTACCTAGACTGGACATTCTCACTACTAAAACTCAGTGAGGGCCTGCGCGTTCTAGCTTCTTTGCGCTGGAACCACGGTATAGAGAAGTTGTCTGTGTATCCGCTTGTACGACGAGAGTCACGTATACTGCCTCCACCACCTATCATCAACCCAGCTACCTATGTACCCATAGGTCCCTTGGGCACTACACCCGTAACTCCTAATCCACCACCAACATACACATCTTCTCACCTTGCGGATCAGCATGGTCTCTTCCTGCCACCCCTTCTCACATCGCTCTTTGAAAGCACCATGTCTTTACAAGATGAGTCTGCGTCATATGTCGCTACGCTTCTGCCGACATTCCAGGCTCTATCCCCGATTTTCCTCTCGCTGTATTACCATCACCTCACCGAAGACTTTGGCATTCGCATCTCTGTTTTCCCATCCTTCCTTACGTCAGACTTCCTTCATCTCGTACGGCAACGCGAACCCCGCGCTCTGGTACTTATAGCGTGGTGGTTTGCGCTTGCGGATTTGGTGCCGAAGGGATGGTGGGTGGGTGAGACGGTAAGGAGGGTTGTTGCGGCTATTGGGCGTGAGGTTGAGCGCGGAAATGACGATGTGGCTAAGATGGCAGTTATTGATGCGGAGAGGATTGTGCAAGTTTTTGAATCTGAGGGGAACGAGGAGGCGGCAAAGAGTGTGTTCGAGGGGTGGGGAGGGGTGAGGTGGGAGGTGGGACCGGTGGATTTGGCGGCGTGGGAGGCTGCATGCTTGGTGCATCTGGAGAGTCGGTTTCATGATATAACAGTATAGGGGATGGCAGAGAAGTAAGGAAATATATGGCATCCACTTGAGTTGCTGAGCCGAGTTTACAACCACATTAGATTACTGGTACTAATCGATGTTGATAGGATATAATCGTCTTTTTCAGGTTTAGGCCGGGTTAAATACACATATCTAAAATTCAAATCATATCAGCTAAGGTTCTTCATCCGATACGCCACCAGAACTTACACCAGTGCCATCGCAATTTCCACGATGGAGTTTGTTTCCATAATAGCAAGAGCACGACCCAGAATATCCCACAAAACAGACAGCATCATCTCGACACTTTATCAGGTTTGCATTTATGAATGCTGGGAACAAAATTCCGAGCTTCACAAGCAGGCCGAGGCGAAGGAACTTCATGTCGGGAGTAGATTGTGAGTAGTGGAGCTTCAAAGGTAACAACAGGTGGACAGCGTTGAAAGATGGAGAGTAGAGAGTGGTTTGAAGTTTCGAAATATAACACAGTACGCGTCAGTTTTGCATGGAGAAATCGAGTATTTGTAGTAAAATACCAGAGTTATACGAGGGACGGTGGGTGACATGTAAGCCAATCAATCAAAGAGCTCGGGCGAATATGATAAGCTTAGTGCATAATGACATAATAGAGTCATCTTTTATCATCATACCATCTCTCTGAACCTTATTCTCAATCCTCGTAACCCCAATTCATGGCTCATCTGTACCAGGTTAGCGTGGGAGCATACATAATACATATCGGTGAAACAATGACCTCACTAGATACAACATCAAGCTACTTCGGCCATCGAGTCAGAGGAGTTGGTTAGATGTCACAGTCGAGAGGAACATTGTTTTGAATATACTCAAAGTACAACTGTGTTACTTCATCAAGTGCCACAAAGTATCCAGTGGAAGACGAACAAAAGATAACCCATGTTCGTAAGTTAAAATTTTTGATCAACAGGTCTAGATGGTCTCTTGGTCCCATCAAATCCATACGGCCCACTCCGCCAAAAGCCAAAAATAGCGGACGTTCCAATAAAGCTAATGATCGTCTTGCACGGCCGGTTTGGGTTATATCCAATCTTCACTGCACACCCGTGATACCCGGTCGTTCCGGTCGAGATGCGACGCTGTAGACCGTGTTACACAGCAAATTATATTATTAAAATTCGATGGCTTTAGGCACAAGCTCAGTTCAGCACGGACGCGTAGTCATATCCTTTTCAGATTTGTTAGTTTGTATAATAATTTGTTAACTCCAGCCCTCTAAGATACTTCTATATAAAACAAGTTCTAAGATCTAACGTGCAGCACCAGTAAGCTGGCCACACCAGTAAGCTGGCCACCCACCCAACCTGACGCGACGCTCTGCACCACAACCACCATGCCGCGACAACAACGCTCTATACAAGCTTCTCGTGAAGGTAGAATAAGTCTTGCTATAGCATCCTATCGTAATGATTTAAAACAGTCTATCTGCGCTCTCGTAAAAGCATATAATGTGCCAAAGTCAACTCTTCAGACGCGTATCCGCGGTACCCAACCACGATTAGAGACAGCCTCTATTAATCGCAAGCTATCAGCTATCGAAGAGCAGTCTCTTGTTTAATAGATCCTAGACCTTAACCGACGCGGTTTTCCGCCCNATATCATCGACGTGCGACGAATGGCAGACGCTCTACTCGCTACGCGCGGCCAAGATCCACCTCCACAGCCTACTGGCAAGAACTAGGTGTCCCGCTTTATCTAAGGCTAGCTAGAGCTTTAGACAAAGTAGACTAGAAGATTTCATAGCTAACGCGCTCTCTCTGAGGATCCTATCGCAATTATAGCCTGGTTTAAGCTAGTAGAGGAGACGCGCTAGACGTATGGCGTCCTAGACTAAGACATCTATAACTTTGACGAGACTAGATTCGCGATAGGCGTCGCTGGCACGTCAAAGGTAGTTATAAGCTCTAATAGAGTCGGTCGGGCAGTTATCGTATAGCTAGGCAATCGCTAGTAGGTTATAGCAATCGAGTGCGTCAACGCGTCTGGCTAGTGTCTACCACCGTTCGTAATCTTCTCTAGTAAGGTCTACCAGAGCAGCTGGTATAATAGGCTCCCACTAGACTGGGTTATCGGCGTCTCAGACAACGGCTAGACGACTAATTAGCTTAGGGTAGAGTAGGTAAAGCACTTCAACTAGCATATAGCAGCTCATACAGCTAGAGTCTATCGGCTTCTTATCCTAGACGGCTATAGCAGCCACGCTACCCTAGAGTTCGACCAGTACTACGCTAAGAACAAGATTATCACTCTCTGTATGCCGCCTCACACGTCGCATCTTCTCTAGCCGCTTAATATAAGCTACTTCTCGCCGCTTAAGCGGGCGTACGGACGCGAGATTAAGGAGCTCGCCCGCTAAGGCGTCTACCACGTTAATAAGATAGACTTCCTTGTAGCCTATACGCGGATCCGGCCGATAGTATTCACGTAGTAGAACATTTAGGCAGGTTTCTAAGCGATAGGCCTCGTCCCTCCTTATCTAGATCGCGTCCTATCGTCTCTTATAGTTGTCCGTACACCGTCTCCACTATAGATAGCTATAGATAATAACGCTATAACGCAGCTAGAAATACCACAGACAGTAGCGCAGCTTCAGTAGCGGGTCTGCTATCTCTAAGAGCGGCTACGCCGAAAATCAGAGAGCCTAATAAGCGTTACAATACTCTAGCTTACTAAAAGCGCTTAGCTTGTAATGCAAACAGTGATAATATATATAGAGGAAATTAAGAAGCTCCATTAAGGCCATAAGCGTTAATAACAAAAGCAGGACCAATAGCGTCAATATATTACTTCTAGTAGGGTGCTCTAGGTCTAATAGGCTCAGCAGATTATTGTAGAGGTAGAAAGGGTAGTCATGGGGGGTGACCAGAACCAGACTTGCGAGCGACGTCAGCGCGCGCCGCCAACGTGTACAAAGTGTCACGTTCAAGGACATACTCGGACTTCATGTAGAGCTAGATAAAGAATAATATCTTTTACTTCTATCTAATATTATTGCGTTGTTGTGGCTCAATGGCGTGGAGCGTCGCGTCAGGTTGGGTGGGTGGCCAGCTTACTGGTGTGGCCAGCTTACTGGTGCTGCACGTTAACTAACTCCTAGCTTATCTAATACATTACTACCCGTAGTTCCGCCGGGGATTAAGGATAGTCTTACTACCTCTAACCTCGCGGTGAGGCTGCGTAATTAGAATTCGAAATCTATTTCCATAGCTATACATATAAAGGCCTATCGATCTTACCACTTAACAATATCGCGATGATATCTTTTTGGTGTGACTCTTTAGCCTTGTCTTTAAGATAGTTTTAGTAAGGCCGCGCGCATAACGTGTCAGTGCGCAGGACGTGTCCACCTACTAGTACGTACCCTACACCTTCATACTAATATCGTCATTGCGCTGCTTATTCGTCTGCATTTAACAACACCTTCGACGCGACATCCCGTGCACTTTCTTGCAACCAAGATGGCAAACCTCTTACGAGAGGTATCCACCAGAAATATGAAGGGATGATGATCTGTGCCGCGTATCCAGAATAAAGCTGCTTCACAACCGCGTTGGCGACATCTTCCGGCTCAGACAAGCCATTGGTTATCTTGCCACTGTCTAACCATTTCTGCGCCATCGGAGTGCGGACCCAGCCCGGATGCACGATCCTGGAAATCAGTTTGTTATAATAGCCTTAACTGCAGGAAGGATATACGAACGTAGTTCGCACCCGTGGTGCTTTATAGATGAATTTCAACTCTTGAGCTAAACCCTCGTGCAAGGCCAACACGCTCGCCTTGGTCACGCTATAGTCTACGTTCAATGCCTGAGTACTGAATGAGGCTAGACTCGCAATAGAGACAATGTGTCCGTGATCTGCTTTGACCATGTCGGGTAGGAACTCTTATAGTAATAGGTAATGTGAGATGACGTTCACTTGGAAGATTGTGTGAAGCTTTGTCTCGGCCAGCTGTAGAATAGGCACCGCGTTTCCGACACCGGCGTTGTTTATCAGGACAGTGGGTGCGCCGTGTTCAGCACGTATTTGAGCCCCAATGGAGGCGATCTCTGAGGAGGAGGTGATGTCGAGCTTATAGAAAAACTGGTTTGGAACTAGACACATACAAAAGTTAGCAGCACGACTACATAATGCTACGACACGATTTCTTGCTTACATGTGCGACCTTTCGGAGGTGCGATGTCGACATTGATGACCTTCACCGCCCTCTCAGCCAACTTCGCCGCGATAGCAGCTCCTATCCCGCTATTGCCGCCTGTCAGCAGCACAATCTCTTTGCTCCAGTCGTACATCTTGTCGGTAACGGCATTGTTGACGACTCTTCGTGAGTACCAACTATTCAGGCTCGAAACCACGAACCAGCCCACGAAGGCACCTCCAGCGGCGATTACAGCCGGCGTTTTGGCTAGCTGAAACGTGTGGTCCAAGTTAATTCTAGATCCCATGAAAAAATTGCGGGATTCGTGTGTGCATGTGTGTGTGAGAGAGAGAGAAAAGGGAGTCAATTCTTATACCCATCAAAAGCTCGCCCTGCGAAAGCCTACCTGAACCCGTGGTTTCACCAATCGACCTCGACGGAAAGGTCCGACGTAGAGCTAAACATGGCTGAACCAGATCATGTATGGATTCTCATCGGTACTGACTTTTCCCGTCCCAAGTTTCTGGACTCATATGTTTTGTTGAGAGCGTGGATAGCCCCGAGCAGAGATCTCAAGTTGTTCTGGAATACGTAGTGTTATCTCGAGGCCTGGAATGGAATCTCACAACAAGAACACAACAACAACCCTCAATTACTGTATTAAGCTTCCGAGAAAGTTTGAAGACACAGAAAATCTCACTACCAGGACAAAACACTATCCAGTATGCGATCCGACGCATCTCCTCAATGTAGCAACTTGCATTTGACAAAACACAGCCACTCACCTTTGTCCCATTCATTCACTAATACACCACCAAGGATCCCACTCAGGATATCCTCTCTCGATCCCAGTACACAACGCACATACAAAAAAAGCATAGGCAACACGTGCCCAAAAAAACACGCACGATATACATCATCGCGACCACCACCTTTTAAGCTGCCATACCCAGGCACACAATATGAAACACCACGTCAACCCACCTCTCACCAACCCCCCAAAAGGAAACAAAGACGCTAGCACCACCGACCGAGAAAAGAGGATGAAAAATGCCGTTAAGACTACACATACTCACCGATATATCCCCCCCCCCCCTCCAAATCCAGCCTACATAAAAGTCTACCATAAACCCCTCACCCACCTGTCTACGAAAACAAAACAAAAAAGTTGAAAGTTCTGAAACAGAGCTGAAGGAAACAAAAACCAAAATAGCAAAAAAAAAAGATACGAGAGAAAAAGGGTGTGGAAGCGTGACGGGTAGCAATTGTAGAGTCCACATGCACATAAGAAAGTTTTAAAAAAAAACTGAAAAGGTAGAGAAAGTAAGAGAAGCGGGTGTTTTTTTAATGGTATTTAAGATGTGTATATTTGAAAAAAAAAGCAACCGGAATATACCAATTCGACATGGCAAATCAGTATACAGCACTAGCTATACGGTAAACCCCAAGTTCCGCATCGATGAAAACGCGAAACAAACGCCAGAAACTCCTCGTCCATGTTCCCCCCTCCCCACCCCCGAGTTTTCTTCTTCTTCTTCTTCTTCTTCTTCTTTTTTGGTGTGTTCAACAAAGCGACTATTCGAAAACATTCATGAATCGCCCCCCCAAAGAAAACTCTTCTCCCTAATCCCTCTTACACAAGCATACACAGCTCTAGGCGCATTTACTTCCTCACAGTCTTGCTAGCCTTGGCCACAACCTTAACAAGCTCAGCATACGCCTCAGCAAACTCATCATCGCCCTCTCCCGCCTTCTTGCCCAGCTTGTCTTTACCAATCATGACAACGCTGGTAGGTCTCTTTGTAGCGCTTGCCTCACCAAGCTGCGCGCGGCTCTTGATATAGATGTAGGGCACGTTGTGGTCTTCGCAGAGGACAGGGATATGCGCAATGACGTCCATGGGCGAGATGTCAGCGGCGATGACGACAATGGCAATGGGGTCGCTGAGCGTGGACGCAGCGCCTGCGGCGGCGGATTTGCGCAGCGCCTTGACGACTTCTTTGACACCGCGGCGGAGGGTCTTGGACTTGGCGGCTGTTTGAAGGGAAAAGGTTAGTTCGAAATGTTGTAGATTGTGTGGGCGCGTTTTTTTGGGGGGTGAATGGGAAACGTACATTTCTTGACGGTCTTGAGAATCTTCTTGACTTCCTTGTCGTTGTCGGCGAGGGGGAATGCAAAGGGAACGAGGGCGCCGCGAGGCTCGTCGTCGCCGGATGCGCCGTCTACGACATTGACCATGGAGACCTCGGGTTCCTTCTCGAGTTCGGCCTCTAGCGCGTCGGTCATCTCAACATCGCCCTTGATCTTCTTCTCTTTCTTGTCCTTCTTGCTCTTGGTTACGCCATCCTTCTCGGCGCGCTTTTCCTTCTTATCCTTCTTCTCCTTCTTGAGCTTCTTCTCCTCGATATCTTTCGACATTGTAACTGTATGCGACTGTGTTTTGAGGGCTAGAACGCCAAGGTAGAGGGGTATATGAATATGGCGGACAATGCGTGGAACTGCAAGCAGACGGGCTGGTGTAGCTGGGCCTCGAAATTTTTGGAAAAGTTCAATTGGAGCTCTTCGCGCTAGTTATGCATGGTGGTCCGTGGGTCGCCATTATCGATTAGCGGCTTCATTCAACGTCGGATTGCGGTCGGTAACACTGAGATTCAACGGACTTCACAGACTACCTGTATTTTAATCTCAACATGCTCATGCGAAAATGTGTTCATACAATAATATTTGAAATCATAATCTACCCACACTTCGGCATGGTCAATCTACTACTTCCATCCTGCCCTCCGTCGCCACGTAAAGGCGCTTCATAAATACTATGGTATATGCACATCAAACCCCAAGAGCTCCATGACGAATAGAAAAGACTGCAAAAAAAAACGACAGCAAACAAACGGTATTAGCAGAAATGCAGCAGAGGCAATACAGGCAGCAGGACCGAAGCAGAGCGATGACGCGCCTGGGGCCAGCCTCCATTAGTCCAGAAATGCCGATGGGTATGAGCGAGGGAAAGATATTAAAAGGACGCCAAACAAATAGAGCGCATGCTCAAGTGTGTAGCAATCTGGACGACTGCCCCTGTGCGCCGTATTACCCCAATCTTGAGAAAGTGAAAAGAGATAAGAAATAGAGTACCAATGATCAACACGCCCAAACTCCACGACATGCTCCCAGATGCAAGGAGGTGGCTGTAGCCAGACAAGCAAAATACAATCCCAGTGACAGATAAACAGAGAAATAAACAAAAATCAAAAAACAGATCGTGAGTAGAGTACTAGAGGTCGATCGTATGGCCCTAGTAGGCCATCTGCATCTCGAGGACTTGGACACCGCCAGCCGCCATGGACGGTGTAGCGGATCCAGAGCGAGAGGACATGGCGTCCTCGTAGCCAACAAGGGCTTGTGAATGGAGCTTGAAAGCTTCGCCCATGAGCTTGGTGATGCTATGCAGAGTTAGTGACAGGTTTCGCAGAGTAACGGAGAGATCAACATACCCCCAAACAACAACTTCGTCAATCATACTGCCCCAAAGTCGAGCGACAGTAGAGCTTAGTTTGGCGCCGTAGACATCGACCGAGTCATCATCGAACAAGTTGCGCAGCTTGTTGTACATGGCTAGCTCTTCTTCGGTGGCTGGTTCCTCGTCGTGTTCCAAGCGGTAGAGCCACAAGGTCAGAATTACCATCAGGTCCATGCCAGTAAGAGGATGCTCGATGCTCCAGTTGGTGGCCGAAGTACGTGCAACCCAGCGGATTCCTTGCACGGCAGCGACTTCGATGCAGTCAAAGCACTCCTGGATGACTTTGATCATCTCGGGTGAGCGCTGGACCTTGTCACGGGCATTGGTCATGGCAGCAGCGACTTCGTACGAGTCGTGATAACGGAGAGCCTCCTGAATAGACTTGAGGTCAACGACTAGTCGAGCGCGCGTGTTCCTATACAGTGCCATGGCATTGAAAATTAGAGGATGGCCCTTGTGCGGGGCGCTCAGCTGAACAACAACGGTCTCGGGCTCGCACAGCTCAAGCGACTTCTCCCAGGTCTCAAGAGCCAGTCGGAGCTTGTACTCGGTGACCACGTCCTGAAGAGCTTCGGGGCTGCGCTTGTGATACCACACCTCGAGGAAGAGAGCATTGATCATGACACGCGTGGCAAAGGCACTGTAGCGTGCAGTCTCGCCTTGGAAGAGATTGTCATGCGCCTGACGGAACGTGATAATCTTGGACGAGCTCAGGCTTTCACGCCAGGCATCGTCGTCCGAAACTTCCATGGTCCAGAGGGATTCTGATGAGGGAAGTTCTAGTGTGTCGAACTCATTGAAACCCATGGCAGGTGTGTGGTTATAAGTAAGAGTGAGCAGACCAAAGAATATGTAGACTGCATAATAAGTTCGGCGGCACTGCTCGTCAACGACCCATTCTTCGTGGTTGGGCTGAGCACCATCACGCGCGTCTGATCGAAGCTTGAGCTCGTATCGGTTTCCGGCAACCATGTTGGCCAAAAGACTCTTAATCGAACAGGCCCACTCGAGACCCTTTGGATCACCGCTCCAGCTGGAAAAGATCATGTTGAGCAGTGTGCTCTGCATGGTCCACAGAGGACACTTGCGCGAGCTAAAGTTCTCCTTGTTCTGTAGGAACTGGTTTACAAGAACCTTTGATCCGATATGCAGCATGTATGCCTGGTCCTGGTCGAATATGTACAGGGCACCTATCGACAGGACAGCAAGGAGCAGCGGGGCTGATACCTCTGTAGGGTTGAATGTTGCGGGATGCAAAAAGGGGAGATGGTGGTGAAACAGATCAAAGTAAGTCTTCAGCAGACGGTTGAGGGTATTGAGGCTGGGAAGGTGGAATGTCTCGAGAAGCGCGTTTTCACTGTCATACTGCTTGATGTTCTCGTAGATCCTGGCGCACTGCTCTTCCGAGTCCAATTGAGGGGCTCGGGTCATCATCAAGGCTTGGTTAGGGCCAGGCGACTTGCGGTAGTCGACTGGCGAAACAGGCCCCATCATCGAGGGATAGGGCGAGAGGGCACCGGGGGTTCCGAGGCCGTTGCCCCCGTTCATGGCCGAGAAGGTGGGCGCAAGGCTGTCGTTTCCCGACATGGTGCGCTCCATGAGAGGGGGCAGTTGGTGAGGGTGGGAGCCGAGGGCTGCAGCCGAGGTAAAGGCCGAGTGGGTGTTGGGGGACGACTTGGGCTCAGACTGGGGGACCATTGAGTCTCTCCAGGGCATCTGGGGCAGCATGTTCTGGCCAGGGGCGGTGTAGGGAATGACGGGCTCCATCATGGGGGGCCCGGTGGGGGAGATGACGGGCTCGTTGTGCTCGGGAATCATCTCGGGCTCCTGGCTGGCCATGGCCTTGTGGTGAAAGTCGGTCATGAGCATGGCGGCGGCATTGAGGTCGTCGTCGTCGTGCATGGCCTCGGAGTCGTGCTGGATGCGCTCGAGGGTGGTGGCATTTTCGACGGGGGCGGGCTTCGAGGGCCCGGCATCGGCGGCCTTTGTGGTGCTGCGGCGCTTCTGCTCGCTGGGCAGCGGGGCGCCGCCGTCTTTTGCGTGGACGGTGCGGTCGTGGCGGAGGAGGAGGTCGCGGCGCACAAAGGTGCTGCGGCATTTGAGGCACTTGAAGGGGCGCTCCTTTGTGTCTGCGGTGAGGGGCAGTTAGCAACACAGTGTCAATCTTCCCCGCAGCGCGACCACGGCGCGAAGGTGTCCCGCCGCAGTAAACAGCTACCCCGCTCTCGCCAGGCAGAGCTCCCATGGCGACGCTGGGCAAGGGGAGGGCACTTACGGGATCGCTCATGACGGCTGCGATGTTCGCTGCGGCTGAAGGCGCGGTTGCAGAACTGGCACTTGTACTTCTTCTCCGGCGCGCCCGTCTTGCGGCCGGCGGGCGACGAGTTGGACGCCATCACGGCAATGCAGAGATGGAGCGGGCAACTGCAGCAGCTCGAGGCCGATGGGATGGGATGATGGAACGGCCGGCGCGCGCGAGCGTTAAAGTGTGTTGATGGGCGAGGTGCAGTGGCTGTGCCCGTCGTTCATCCCGCGCGTTTGTATACACAACAAAAAATGCGAGCACAAGACCGGAGTGGCCGGCGGCAGAGCGGCAGAGCGCGATGTACAGACGTCAGCGCCCCAGGGCTGCGTGCGCAATGATGAAGGCCGCGGACTGCGTGAGGGTTGAGATGGATGCGAGCGGCGCGAGGGCGGAATAAGGAGACCAAGAGGGGCAGCGGCCAAAATCACAAGATGGGGGGGGGGGGGAGAGAGGCACAACGCACAGTCCGCCAAATAGCAGGCTCACCAGCCCAGCCATCCCCTGTGATCTCCTCGCGGGACCGAATAATTACGTCCAGCATGACAGCGCTAGCGAATCCAACGCCAATTGTTGATGAAGTAGGTGTACAGCGGTCGCATCCCACGTTATATTTGCTTGTATCTATCGCTGCCCATTGACAGTGTGCCGTGCAGGGTTGCCCGCCCGTGGTTTGCTTGCTGCCCACGCCTCTCTGCCATGAGCATGGCCGCTTGCACCGCTTGCACCGCTTGCACCGCACCCCTCGACGCAGTCTCCCACTGTTGTGCCTCCCTCTCCATCACGCACACTCCCCTCCCCCTCGCACCCCTCTCGCGTTCTGCCGCGCCCTGCCGCGCCCTATAGCCCCTCTCTCCCCCAAGCCAGGTCCTTGTAGGCATACCGCCCATCTGCAGTTGCGCCTGCACACCGGGTACTCCCTTAGTTGACGGGCTGGACCCAATTGCAACATGGCAATCGCATGGCCAATGATTTTGATCTCACGAGGCTCTTGCGGAGCGCGGTTTCGCCGTACCACGCGCTGGCAGCGGAGTCGCCCTCTGTATCCACCAGTTGTGGCTCGACATCTCAAAGAGGCGGTAAGAATGGCCAGACGACTTTTGCCTCTTGAGTGAGTAGTCTGCTGGGGCGCCATTCCTCAGATGCAGGCCGAGCGCATGGAGCCTCACCGCCTCATTCTGCGTGCCTGTGTGCCTGCGCCATTCATGTTGGCACGAACCCCGACCCTACATACTGCCTACACCACACCCACCTACACCTACACCTACAGTACAACATGCACACCACCCAGGCGGGCGTTGCCTGTTGCCCCTCGCTGGCCGCAATCGCCGGCCCATGATGACCTCACCCTGCCCGAAAAAATAAGAATAAAAAAAAGGGGTGGCTGCAGCCCCTCGCTCGCGGAGCCAACAAGATGACGCCAGGAGCACCCTTCCAACTCGCACTATGGAATGCTGCTGTGTGGCTGCGAGTAATTTGGAGACGATCGTCGGCTGCCCTCACTCGTTCCTGGAACTCTATCCATACCTCCGGGCCATGATCCCGTTCCCCGGACCCACATCCTCTTCTTAGCCCGGTCCACACATGCACCAGACAGCAGCAGCTTCGTCGCTGTCGACCGCACTCAAAACAAGCCATCGCGCGACGATGGAATGCTTTTTTACGCCTGTCCCTCCAAATCCCAATGCCAACAGGCCCATGGCAGCCATGCCCTTTGACCTGCGCCCCCGCCCCCCCTCTCACCACCACCACCACCATCATCATCACAACAACAACTACCGCCACTGTCCACCCCCAAATGCAAACACCCCTCCACCTGCCTTCCCCGTAAGCAGCAGAGCACCTAGAAGAGTCCACTAACATGCCCCGCTTGCATCGGGGATGCGCGTATATCCTGGAGCACATAGCGCCGGTCGCGGTCTGGTAAACGGCCTTGTTCCCGCCCCAGCCCATTTTGCCTTCACCGTCAGTTCGTCGGACTGCGCCCTCGCGCCACATGCCTCGTGCCATCTCTCTCACAACCCCTCAGTGTCGGCGAGGGGCATGCATGGCTGCTGGGCGCGAGGGAGGGGGGGCTTCGCGCCCCTCGCCCCTCCTCGCGCTAGAACGCTTCACGTAATGCTTTAGAAGCGCAACGCGGCTTCGTGGTCGAGGTTTCATGTGGCAGGCCATGGTCTGTTCGCGCAACACGGACGCCATAGAGCCGCTACCCATCCGCCTGCGCCGTGAGATAATTTCAACAAGGTCAAGGCAAACCGACTAGAATTACTTAGTGCCAGGGACCATGGCCGCCGGCTCGGGGCATTGCCCGTGTCCATGTGCTCGCCATTGTCTGAAGAGCAAGCTGAAATGCTCAGTGGCTGCTGCCCTTTTTCCCTTTTACCGTTTGGTGACGAACAAATATGGTCACGGCAATGGCCTCTGGACGCCATCCGGAGACACCTCCACGTTCAGCGCCGCTCCCGTTGCCATGTGCTTACTTACTCGTGCTTACAACGAAGCTTCCCTTTGCTCTCGCTATATCCCGTCATCTCCCAACAATCTCCCTGCCACCCCGGGAGTGACAGCAGCATCATGATCAATTGGGCGGGTGGCCGGCCCACACACCACTCCGGCCCAGTGTCGCAGAACCCAGAAGTCGACGCTTCCGCTTCCACGCGACACATTAAGCAAGTTCAAGAATGGTATCGGCCGCTAATTCCTTCATCATCGCTCAAGGCTTCCATGGCGTCTTCGACGATGAGATGCGCGTGTCAGTCACCGCTCTCGCATCCATGGGGCTGCCGGCTCTTGCTTGACTTTGCAGCCTCCAGTGTTCCACATACTCTCTACCTTTACCATCGGCCTCGACACTAGGTCTCGCCAGACTAGGTTGCACAACTCTTTGAGCGTCTCTTGGCGACTTGCGCAGCTGCAGGTAATGTTCGGCGCAAGCAGAGTGTCAGGACGCCAAGGGTCAGAGGTCGGACGACTGACTGGATGGTCGCACAAGACCGGTAGGGTGGTATCATGCTCAATTGCTCCGGTATCCGCCCGCAAAAGGCGACAGGTCCCTGCCGTCCTTGGGACAACGTTTCATAGCGCATAGAAGGAGAATTAGCCCAACGAGTCAGCCAGTGTTCTAGATGAATTGACGAGTGTATGGAACGCCTGAGGTCCTCCCCACCCAGTCGTCAGGCTCCTCGCTCGGCGCCTGCATACTTACATACTGACATACATACACACCCACTATGGATGTACGTACTACATTTCACCTACCGTATACAGCATCCGTACTGCAGCCGTGGTGGGGTTTCGCACGGTTCATGACACTGTCGGACCATTATTGGCCAGGCGTAGAGAGGCTACTTTGATGCGCATGTGTACATAGTATGTACTTACATAGACATGCTTCAGGCCGGCGTGTTTGAACGGCCATCTGACAAGCAACAAATCTTACGCGACGTGTTGGACCGGCGGCTTTTGACAATGGGCATGCAGCCGGCTCAGGATGACCAGCAGTGTAACCATCCATCTGGACAGACAGGTTGTGTGTATGCACAACATCTGCTTCCGGCGGGCTTTGCATGTACTTTGACATGCATGAATATTATAACCTGTAGACAAGCAAAGCGGGCTCCGCGAGGGCTTGGATTGAGGGATGGGCCCGGGACTTGACACATTGTTAGCTTCTTTTATCCAGAAACCCAGGTCACCACGTGACTTGTGGCAGCAGTGTCCCCACATTCGGGGGGCCTCCACCGCTCACAACGCCTGCCCAGCGACCCGCCCTGGTGTTGCAGTTTCTTTCGCTCCTGAGCTCTCTTCCTCTCGACGATAATCATACACAAGTGCCCGCTGCGAGACTCTATTCGCTGTGCAGTTCTGCGAGGCGCGAATGCAAGGCTCCTCATTCGCATGCCGGTCCCGCCCCTAGCCCAATTGCATGCCCTCAACCACCCCCCGGCCATAACACGCGGGCTATCTGACCCTCGAAATCGACCGCGCTGTAAGAACGAGCGGCCCACCTTGCGACCTCTTCTGCTCTTGTCACGGGCCGCAGTAGAGGGGCATCTTGCACCCGAGTGTGCGGACGTCGTCGTTGCTCTCCTATCCCGTCCCCCCTCGAGCTGGTCGCGCCTTCCAACATGAACGGCTTCAGCGGCACGACCGACGCTGGCGGCATGTACGTCAAGGCCCTATACGACTACCAGGCCGACGACCGCACCAGCTTAAGCTTCCGGACCGGCGACGTAATACAGGTCATCACCCAGCTGGAGAGTGGGTGGTGGGACGGAGTCATCCATGGTGTCCGTGGCTGGTTTCCAAGCAACTACTGCGCCGTCGTGCAGCGGCCCAGCGAAGACATCGAGGAAGACCGAGACGGTGCCGATGCCGACGACGATACTCGTTCAGCCAGCGGCGCAGAGGGTGACTATTCCGACGATGGCTCCCTGAGCGGCGGCAACGACACCATCCTGCCCATTGAGCGCAACACCGCACCCGCCAACAACAAGGAGGAGGAAGCTGCCTTTTGGATCCCCCAAGCTACCCCAGATGGAAGGCTTTTTTACTTCAACACCCTGACCGGCGTAAGCACAATGGAGCTACCGCTTGAATCACCCGCTACGAACGAGAGCGGCCCGCGCAACCGCACAGATGTCTTCATTCCAGAAATGTCGCGGCCGCCCGCCGAGATATTGGCTTCGGGCTCTGGCTACAACATGGAAGACACAGACGACGAAACATCCGCATCCGACTTTGAAGGCCCAGGAACAAAGGGTTCCTACACCTCTCGCGTAAGTATCGAACCGCTCACCCTCCTCCCGCTTGTGTGAGAGCCCCTCTGACTTTGGACTACAGCACAGACAACGCTTGTCTGGTGGACTCTCATCAGCTACCTCCATGGAGTCAATGAATGGTGGTTACCACGGCAGGGGGGCCTACGACCAAAGCAGCATGAGCTTTGCTGCTTCTGCTGCAATGCCTCCCGCTGGTACGACGGCCACATCCTTTGCAAACAGCCCTGGTCTAGGTGGACCCAACGGTACCCTTCCACAATCACGAAAGTTTTACGACGATGTCAGCCCAGTGCCTCTTACCTGGAACAGGATGGTCGAGGATATGCGACGCGCGATTGAACGATACAAACAAGCCATCAACAACAGCGACAGGTCAGAGTTTGTAAAGCGTGCTGAAGACATTTCAGATCACCTCCGGCTGTTACTCGCGGCTGGCTCGGGAACGACGGATAACCACTCTGGCAACCCTTCCATCATATCGACCAACAAGGCCCTTTACCCTCACTTCAGAGAGACCATGTCGCGCTTTTCAAAGCTAGTTCTTTCTTCGCACATTGCCGCATCCGACTTTCCTCCCCCCGACTCTTACTCAAAGTGTCTGAAAGAAGCAGAGGGCGTGATGAATGGTGTTTTTGGGTTTGTGGAAGTAGCTCGTCAGCAGCGGGGCGAAGAGA